TTTTCTTCCCCCTTCTAAAGCAATCAGTTTATTAAAAGAAGGCTGTTATAATGTAACAGATCCAGACCTAGTTTCTACAGTATACTTCTGTTAAGTTTAAAAACTTTATAGCTGAAAATCTTAATAACAAAACTAATGCAAAATCACTAAAACACAGAACATATGTCACAGTCTCTATAAATCTAGTAAAATGTTCATGATAACCATAAAAATACCACTAGTGGAAAAAAAAAAAAAAAAAGTGAAATCCAAATATGTCAATACACTTCTTGAGCAACATTATTAGAATATATATAAGATATACTGACCAGCAGAGCTTTGATAAGATGAAGCTATGGTGTTAGAATTCAACCCACATTGCGGTATAGCAATAGCAGCAGAACATGCATGAGAATGGGAATATGAAAAATGCATTGGAGCAGGTTCAGAAGCAGTTAAACGACTTATTTCTTCTGTACTTCGATGTGGATAGAACGTAGAAAGTCCAGATGGATACGGTGGAGTCTCTTTCCTCTTTCTAGGTCTTTGTAAACTTAAAGTTTGCCTAAAAAATAAATTTTCTATTTTAAAAAACTAAAGAACACATAGTCTTGGAGCATAGTTACAGCAGAATTTTGAATTAGAAATATGTTTGATAATGATGAATTTTCATAAAAATTATAACTAACACATACTGCTTAAAGCGTCTAAAGGTTTTCCCAAGCTCGTGTCTATAGTAAGTACTTATGCTCCTATATTACTATTAACATTAATACAATCATCTCTTTAATACATACAAAATATTACAATGGCCACTTAATTTCTAATACTACAATTATTAATGCGATCAATCAATTTTTAATATAACACAAATAAATCCTACTGCTGATTTTAATGTTTACTCCCTTTTATTGAAATGAACTATTTTAATGGCATGTTAGATTCCTGATCAGTAACATTTTATATTTAGATAAATGGATGGCACATAAAAATTATCTCTTTTTGAATCTGAATGCATTGCCATTATATCCCAAGGACACATTCAAAATTGATCATTTGGTTCAATGCAAAATTCTTACTTTTGTAGGAAGAATATTGTATGAATTAGTAATGAAATCCTTAAGCAAAATTCTTACTAACATATGAATGGAATCCAATCTGAAATTTAAAGTGTAAAATTAATAGCTATCTCTTACAATGCATTACCATATTAGACGGCATATAAGACGCACTGGCATATAAGATGCACCCTTATTTAGAAGGCCACACACAAGGGAAAAAAGTTTCATTAGTGCACAATAACTTCAAATGTGGGTCCTTTTAGTTCTCACGTTTCGTAAAAGCCAAATAAAAAGATTGAATGCAATTACAATATTTTTATAAAAAACTAAACCAATGCAAGCTATTTGACTGATATGGTAAATTTCATAAGAATAAATGAATGGCAAGAATCAAATATAAAATTAAGCAGAAACAACACAAAATGCGTTCAAGGAAACGTTGCTATCATGATTAACTTTATCACTTTCAAACCATAAAATCCTTTTCAATATCATCATCAACGAGAACGAGAATAGCGGCATCAATACTTTTCATCATCGCTAGTATCACTCTTCGAATAATGGTTGTCTTCTTTTCGTCACGAGCATTACTGATTCCGTATTCTTAAAGACTTAACATTAGTCAGCCTTACGTCCTCCCAAGATTTTTTACTCACCGCACACTTGTGAATAGAAGGCCGTTTATTCACTTGGGGGGATGTGGTATCCATCCACTTGTTCCATCGTTCTGCACAGTTCTTGTTCCATCTTGCAACAGAGGAAACCTAAAGCAGCCTGAAGCTTTTAATTATATGCAACTTAACTGCATTCACCAATTTATGACCAACTTTGTAAGTACATTCTATCAAAATCATACCAAAAATTTTAACTAAATGAGATGAACAGACTGAATTTGGTACCTTTATTAGATTTGGCAATATGCATTTTCACAGTTTGCAGAGAACATCTTTTCTTGTATTTACATATTTGTGTGGTTAGTTAATCCATTAATCGTCCAACAGAAATAAGAACTGCTTAGCAATTTCTTTAGATTAAAATTAAAAGAACAGCAATACAAGGTGGAGAAAAAAGTAACCCATACCGCTGGTGTGCATTGACCACGGCAAATAATACGTATATAACTACCTAGATATGCCTTACATGCTTATCCCGATAATTAAATGTGAATTGGGGTCAGTCCACAGAATGACAGCTATTGGGTTTTAATTCTCTCGCTTTATTCGTGTAGAAGAAAGTCTTGTAGACATAATTTGACCATCGAACCTGTTCGAACTTCGACATCAGCTTCGAGATTTGCTGCTTTTTGGTGACAGATATTTCACGCATTAGCAAAATAATTATGGCAGATGTAGAAAAAGTTATGCATGTCTAGATCTTTATCCGGGCTGAAAATAGCATTCAGTATTGAAAGTTAACCTGTGTCCTTCATGTATAAGATGCAGGTAACATTTTTGAGACCAAATTTAGGAAAAAAAGTGCGTCTTATATGCCGTCAAATACAGTAATCTTTTTTTTTTTAATTGAAATTAGTGGCAAAGAGACTAACTGTGTTTCATTACCAGCTATACTTTAAAAATTTATTATTTATTATGTATGTATACTACAAATTACACAAGGAACAAAATTTCCTTATATTTTATTTTTGTATTTATACCTAAAAATGACCCAAAAAACTTTAATAAATTATAAATTTTTCATAAAATGCAGGATGAAGAATAATTATGGAAATTATTTTCAAAATAATGATGAAGCACTTGATCGATAGCTAATGAAAAGGTATCAATGATTTCACAATAATAAATTTAAATTTAAAAAAAGCAATATAAAATACCTCATAGAATATGAATGGGATGGAACTTTAAAAACTTGGCGATCATACTCATCATAATCAAACAGAACTGGAAACGATGGATCTGGCTGGCTTGCATGTCGAGAGCGTTTTGAATGAGAAACTAAAAATGACATATAAAAAGTAGCATACTAAACAACTAAAATGAATTACAACACAAAAGTATCTTCAATAAAACATGAAATATTAAAATAAAGAAATCTGCTAAAACAAATATTTACTTTATTGGCTAGGATGCCATGGATGTTACTTGCCCCAAAATGTCATCCAGAATATGTTACACAATTACATTCTTATATCAACTAAACAAATTAGATCAACTAAACAAACAATAAAACTTAGAAAGAAATATTTAACTGGCTTTTTTACATGAAAATATTGATAAGACATACAAATCTGACAAGAATGTAACAGAATTGTCCTGACCAGGTCACAGCCAGAATATTAATCATATAGAATAGTGAGTGGCTAATTGCAGCCCATAGTAAGAGTAACAATATTAACTCCTGCTACTGACTTCACACTTTTAAATGTATCTATATTTCTGATATCAACTGCATAAAACTTACTGTTTCTGATGAAATCTCACAATATTCTCCATAATCTCTAATATATTTCAAGCTTTAAGGACATACCTATTTTACTGAAAAAGGTGATAAGTGCAATTTTGAAATTCTCGATCACAATCTTTCACTTGATCATTTCTCCATGTATAAAATGTTTTTACACAGATAAAATGATAAAATAACACACGCATTGACTTACGCTGTGATTATGACAAAATGAACCCCTTAATATTGGCTAAACAACGCATACCATGCAGATCATAGTGCAAAACAGACAGATTGATTTGCCAACCAGCGGGGATAGTGGTTAGTGATACTGACTGCCATACCGAAGGACCCAGGTTCAAATCCTGCCGAAGGTATAGACATTTGTAAATAGGTAGTGTATGTGTGTAGGGGGCATCCTAAACATGCGGGGTGCCAGAAGTTCACTCGAGAGGTTGATGGTAGGGAAAGAGAGGTAGGAGACCCTCAGAAACCCCCCCCCAACTGGCGTGCTCTTTCTCAAAGTTGGCGCTGAAAATGAGCTAAAGACGGGCCCTATGTGGTGTTCAAGACTCTTGTTAATAACAAGTGCATTTGACTGATTGCCACGATGAATGCCGAGAGCTTGTGCAGATCTTGGTCAGAGAGGTGACACTGGTAACAACTATAATAAATTGGTTTTTATATAGAGAGAAGCTGATCACAATTGCAATAAAATACTCATATGATGAATTGGATTGTTGGTTGTGATCTAAGCCTTGACACTGACAGAACTAATCGCTGCTCGTTTAAAAGAATGGTGAGTAATTGCAAATACAGTATTTAGAAAAATGTAAAATATCCTTTCTGACAAAGCGTTATCTTCACAAAACTGGATTTTTGCCATAATTTTTTACATCTTTGCAACAGAAGGAAAACCTTAAGCAGCCTGAATACTTTTAATTATATGCAACTTAACTTGCACCTCACCAATTTTATGACCATCTTTGTAAGAGCACATTCTATCAACAATACATACTCAAAAATTATTAAACTAAATGATGAAACAACAGACTTGAATTTGGTACCTTTATTAGATTTGGCAACACTATGCATTTCTCACAGCTTTGCAGAACATCTTTTCCTTTGTATTTACATAATTTTGTGTGGTTAGTTAATCCATTAAATCGGTCCAAACAGAAAATAAGAACTGCTTAGTAATTCATTTAGATATAAAAATTAAAAAGATCAAGCAATACAAAGGTGGAGAAAAAAGTTAACCCATTAACTGCTGGTGTTGCATTGATGCAACGGTCAACATAAATACATATATAACTACCTAAGATATTTTGTACCAGCAGATGATTTTGTGTAGGGAATATCATGACAATTATTTCTGAAAAAAACTATTTGCTTTCAACAATCATTTTGTTTATAATAATTAATCTCATACTTTAAGCAAAATTTTCAACCGGGTATTTTTGGCGAAAATATTTAACGAAAGATCACTGTCTTTATACGTGATCTATTTTTAGTCAAGGTCACTATATATCAGAACGTTACATCAATCAGCTGTTTATATTTGTGCTGGAAAGGAAGGGAAAACAGGTGTTGCGCTGTTGCAACGTCAGCAGGAAACGGGCAAGCTCCTTTTTTACTCATTCTTTTTTAGGTTCTGGTTCATGTTCTGGCTGCTTTAAAAATGCCTATTACAAGGTATCTTATATTAGAAGAAGCCCTTCAATGATTTTTTTGATGAAGAAACAGATGATGATAATGTTTAATAATGACCAGAATGAAACTGATATTGTTGTTGTTCCCCCAGAAATTGCAGAAGCTACTGATAATGAAGGGAATGATAATGTTTTAAATAATGATAATGATATTTTACTAAAGGATATTGCTGGGGAAGTTGAAATTCATGTAAGAAGTATGTTTCAGCCTTCTAAAAGCAGTGATAGCCATAAGAAAAAGTTTAAAAAGCAGAAAACTGAAAACTTGAAATGGACAAAAAAGGAACCACCAGTTATGTCTCAGGAAGAAAATAAAGAAAGAGATAGAAGAGAAACTATAAAAGACAAAATACAAGGTAAACCTAGTGGAGAGATTTTTGGCTTTCTTTTTGGTTTAGACATTTACTCTATTCTCATTGAACAGACAAATATTTACGCTCAGCAAAAAAAAAAAAAAAAAAAAAAAAAATCTCCCAAAATTTATTGCATCTGAAGCCTATATGGGAAGATTTATTGGAATATTATTGCTTATGCGATATCATTCTTTACCTCAAGAAGAAATGTATTGGTCACTTGATAAGGACATTTCTGTTCCTATTGTACAAGAATCGATATCACGTTTTCAGTACAGGAATATAAAGCAGAATTTGCATTTAGTTGACAATAGTCAATATGACAATACTGATAAATTATATAAGCTGAGACCGTATCTAAACTTACTAAATATCACAACTTTCTACTACTGGAAATAAAAAGTGTCTTTTAGATTTCAGACGCAAGGTTGCATTATTCCTTTTGCAAACTCCTATTGAGAGTGTAGAATTAGCCAGAAATAGATCAGCAACAGGAAGACCTAGTAAATTCAGCATTCAAAAACCATTGCATGGAGACGGTAGACATTTTATCATAAAGTCCGATGATAACAAAAGACTTCTTTGTAAAGAGTGCCACAGCCAGACTGTTTATAGATGCAAAGTATGTAATGTAGCTTTACATCATGGCTGTAGTGAAGCTTTTCATGCTTGAATCTCTCAATTGAAAAAAATCTGTACTTGTAAAAGAAAAATTAGGTATATTTTAATATTAAATTAATTTCAAGTGATTTATAGATTTATAGATTTATAAAATGTTATACAGCTAAAAGTAATCCAGTGCTAAATTCAAAGGAAAAATCACACAAGTAAAATCCTAGTCACTAAACATCCATAGTCTTATTCCGCTGACGTTGCACGAACGCAACACTCGCTTTTTCCACAGGTAAGAGCATTTTTTTTCATTTTCAATGTAAATTTATGTAATAAATACTTAATTTAATATTTGTTATTATTTTCACGAGAAAAGCATCATTCCTGGTAGTTTTGGCGGTTAATGGGTTAATGCAATTGCACATGATTTGAAACAAGCCATAAAGTTGATGATCTTAAAGCCAAAGAAAGAATTTACAATGCTGTAAAAGGATCTGCATTTATGTAATTAATGATTATTACTAAACACTGAACTACATAAATTCATGAAACGGAAAAATAACTAAATATATGGATGACTGACCAACTAAAATCGATTTCTATTCATACAAAAGGATATAAGGCAATCAAAATTTTAAAAAGATTGTGTTTACCAGGGTTCGTACACGTTTTTGCACATGGAAATTAAGTACTTTTAAGGACCATTAATGAAAAAATTAAGGACCTATCAGCAAATAGCTAAATAAATTAAATTCAATCAGCTTATATCTGAACTTCACTTTTGTAATAACATTCTAAGAATAAAATAGATCCGTAAGTAGGATGCATTCTTATTAAACATAATTTAATAAATATAACTATAAAACAGATTTGAGAAAAAAATCCACTTTATAAAATTTATCAAGTAACATAAATATTTTACACATATAATAGTTGAACATATTTGAAAAAAGATTAAGAACATTTTAATTATTTCAGTCTAGAGTTTTAGTAAATAGCAGGTTGATTTTATGCATAGGTTATATATGTTATTAGATGTTAGGATTTTAAGCAAATGACATAGGTTAAAATTAGAAATAAAATCATAGTCAGCATGATCCGTAACAGAAGATTAGCTGTTGCTAGTGCTGCTTCTTACTAGAAAGAGACCTGTTGATAAGAAAAACCTGAAAGCTTGATGTAGGCACTGTTGGCAAGTTCTAAAAGTTAGTTGTGCTTCGTCTGTCTGAAGTAGTTAGTGATGTACCTTCATATAGAGTTTCTGGGATTGTAACCTGGTTAATATATTTTAAAGTTCCAATAAGCCACTAATGCAGCAGAGGTGAAAAGTTGTTTTGTATTATTTTAAGTCTCAATAAATGCAAAGAATAAGTTTGCAATAGTTTTTACATTTTTTTACTGTACCTTGTGGCCACAGTAATGATTAATGAAAAGTAATAATAACTTGCTTTAATAGGCAGAGAAAACTTTAAAAGTGAGCAGTTAGTTATAAATAATTAAATTAGGTGGATAAATACCCATAGTTATTATATAGATTTACATGACCGCTGTTAAAATCACAATCTAATAACACTTTTACTAATAACACAGTTTAAATACATGTAATTTATGCTACTGATTCTTAAACAGTATTAAGATAATTATACATTAAAAGTTAAAAACAAAATATTTATGCGTCTTTTTAATTTGGAGTCTTCCCAAACATTTTGGTTAATTTATATCAATTTTCTTCTCTAAAACTTCTGTTCTTCTCTACAGCTTCTGGTGATGCAATTAAAACAGGAACAGCTGAATTCAAACTAAAAATATGGACTAGTAGTCAAAGACTACACAATTTAAATTTAATCTAAGGTGGCTCAGTAACTTGATCGTAGG